AGTGTTCCCTCTCGCGAAGAAGTCCGAGGTGACTTCTACGCTGATCCGGTGGCTTCTGGCTACTGAGGGCACTCGTGGTCGTCGTGTCAGTTGTCTACACTCCGACCGTGGGGGCGAGTTTCGCTCCGGCATTCTTGGCGGATTCTGCGGCGAACAGGGCATCGTACAGTCCTGGACGCTTCCGGAGTCCACACAGCAGAATGGGGTTGCTGAGCGCCGCATTGGCTTGGTCATGGACATTGCTCGCACGTCCATGATCCATGCCCGTGCGCCCCATTTTCTGTGGCCCTACGCGGTTCGCTACGCCGCACACCAGCTGAACCTCCAGCCGCGTGTCTCGCGGCCCGAGACTTCACAGACCAGTCTTTGGACCGGTTCCCCTGGTGTTGGGTCGGCCTTTCGTGTCTGGGGCTGCCTTGCGCTTGTTCGCGACACCTCCGCGGACAAGCTCTCGGCACGCGCCGTCCCCGGTGTCTTCCTTGGTTTCCCAGTGGACTCTGCCGACTGGTCCTTTTACCACCCGCCCCTCCACCAGTTCCTAGACTCCCGTGACGTCCGGTTTGACGAGTCTGTGTCCTACTACACCCGGTACCCCTGTCGAGGTCTCCCGGTACCCCCTCCCCCTCTCTTCGTCGCACCCTCTCCTCCTCCTGCTCCCGCTCCTCCGGTACCCCCGCCCCCCCCTGGTCCTGCCCCGTCTGGTGTGTCCCACGCTACCCCTCTACCCTCGGTCGCGCGTCAGGTCGCGTCTCCCTCCCCGCAGTCCTCCTCCCAGTCCCCTCAGCAGCCTTCGGCACTTCCGCGACAGGTTACTGTGGACTCGGTTGGTGTTGGAGCTGGAGGTGCAGCCGCTGGCGGTACTCGGTCTGGGGGTGCTCGTTCGAGGGGTGCTGGAGCTGGAGGTGCTGGCGCAGGTGGCGCTAGCTCTGGGGGTGCTGGAGCTGGAGGTGCTGGCGCAGGTGGCGCTAGCTCTGGGGGTGCTGGAGCTGGAGGTGCTGGCACTGGAGGTGCTAGTTCTGGGGGTGCTGGAGTTGGAGGTCCTGGCACAGGAGGTGCTAGTTCTGGGGGTGCTGGAGCTGGAGGTGCTGGTTCTGGGGGTGCTGGTGCTGGAGGCGCTGGCACTGGAGGTGCTGGTTCTGAGGAGACTGGAGCTGAAGACACTGGTTCTGCGGAGTCCACTCCGCCTCCCCACCGCCACGACACGCGTCTCCAGGCGGCCCGTCGACGTGAGCGTGAGGAGCAGGTGCTGTTGGACTGGGAACGGCAGGAGTTGCGGCAGTTGGACCCGCTAGAGCAGCAGCAGCAGCAGCAGCCGCCGCCGCAGCAGCAGACACCACCGCCGCCGCCGCGACCATCGCAACTCCCTCTGGAGCGGCAGTTGTTCCCACCCGTGAGTGGCCTTCGGGCCCTTGGTCTTCCCTCCTCTCCTCCTGTTCACACTCCGTCCCCTCCAGCGTTTGGTCACACGTTTCCTCCTCCTGACGACAGTCCGGCGGTCTGGTCTTCTCCTCCACCGCAGTCTCCTCCACCAGTTGTCCCACACTCTCGTGTCCGTCCCTGTCCTCCGCGTGCTCGTCACTCGTCTCCCGTTACCGACCTCCGCACTGCCCTCCTTTGTTCGTCTCTTCGTCGTCCTCCTCCTGGGTCCGTTCTCCCGTCTCCTCCTCCGTCCTCTCTCCCTGTCCCCCCTACTCCTATCACTGACTACTACCGTGCTGTTCGTCCTGTTGTCTCCCGTGTCCTCGCCACTCTTGTCACCGACTCTCGTTTCCCTCCGTCGTATGTCTCGGCTCTCACTGCCGCTGTCGCTGAGTTTGCTGCCGCCAGCCGCCTTGACTACGCCACCCGTGTGGTACCAGCTCCTCCCTCCCGTCCTCTGTCCGTCGGGGGTGAGTTTGCCCTTGGCTGTGCCGTCCTAGAGGACAGAGAGTCTGAGCTGGAGTACTGGGCAGCCGCTTCTAACTCTGTCTGTGCCATGCTGCTATCCCCTGAGGGAGACCCCGACGCCCTTGACATACCGACTCCTCGTACTTACCGCGAGGCAGTGTCAGGGGTGTGGGCCTCTCAGTGGAAAGCGGCTATGGCCTCGGAGTTAGCCTCTTAGAGATCCACAGGCACCTACATCGACGCAGTTCCCCCTCCCAGGGCGAACGTAGTCGATGGCATGTGGCTCTTCAAGGTGAAGCGGCCGCCTGGTTCAACGCCTGTGTTCAAGGCGCGCTACGTGGCTAGGGGTTTCAGTCAGCGTGAGGGAGTTGACTTCTTCAAGACCTTCGCCCCGACCCCGAAGATAACTACTCTTCGGGTGTTGCTGCACATAGCAGCACAGCGAGACTACGAGCTGCACTCCCTTGACTTCTCCACTGCGTTTCTCCAGGGCCGACTACACGAGGATATCTGGCTGCGCCGCCCTCCTGGCTTCACTGACACCTTCCCACCTGGGACCCAGTGGAGCCTGAGGCGGCCAGTCTACGGTCTCCGCCAGTCGCCCCGTGAGTGGCACGACACTCTTCGCTCCATGCTTCGTGACCTTGGGTTTAGTCCGTCGTCCGCCGACCCGTCGCTGTTTGTTCGGTTTGGTTCCACTCCTTTCTTCATCCTTGTCTACGTCGACGACTTGGTCTTTGCTACAGCAGACAGGGCAGCTCTGGCTCAGGTGAAGTCCGAACTGCAGAAGAGACACAAGTGCACTGACCTAGGTGAACTGCAGCGCTACCTTGGCCTGCAGATCACCAGGGACAGAGCCGCTCGCACCATCACACTGACTCAGTCACACATAGTGCAGCAGGTCCTTCGGCGGTTCGACTTCCAGTTCTCCACCACACAGCCCACACCTCTTGCGGTTGACCACAGACTCACTGGCCCCTTTCCGGACGAGCCCTTTGAGTCCAGTGGTCCCTACGCAGAGCTGGTGGGCTGCCTCATGTACCTGATGACTTGTACTCGGCCGGACCTCGCCTTTCCCCTCAGCATCCTTTCTCGCTTTGTTGCGACTGGGAGACACTGTCCTGTCCACTGGACAGCTGCTGTGAGGGTGGCGAAGTACCTGGCGACTACATCAGGCATGGGGCTTGTGCTTGGAGGGACTCAGCCAGTGGCGTTGACTGGTCACTGCGACTCTTCCTACGCTGACGACGTGGAGACTCAGCGCTCGACTCAGAGTTACTGCTTCAGTCTGGGAGCTGGTGCTGTGTCGTGGAGGTCTACACGGTCGTCTTCTGTGGCTACTTCCAGTGCAGAGGCAGAGATCTACGCTGGTGCCATGGCGGCACAGGAGCTTCGCTGGTTGACCATCTTGTTCGCCAACCTTGGTGAGCGGCCTCGCTCTGCACCGACCTTGTACGCTGACAACAAGGCCATGATCCTCCTCTGTCGAGAGCCTCGACTGGAGAGCAGAGTGAAGCACATTGACGTGAGGTACTTCCTCCTGCGAGAGCTGCAGCGACGCGGCCAGGCACGCCTGGACTTTGTGGCCTCAGAGGCCAACACTGCAGACGTCTTCACCAAGGCCCTAGCGCTTGGTGACCACCACAGGTTCTGTGTGCAGTTGGGGCTTGTTGAGGTAGGCCCTCGGTTGCTGTAGTCTTGTTGCTTGCTCGGCTTGTTGTGCTTTCCTATATATATCCTAGTGAACTCTTGAACTGGCCTTGTGGCCGCTTGCTTGCGCTCGGAATTTGTGTGGTGTCCTTGAGATCCACCCTGAGCTTGTCTTGCTTCTTGCTGACTGGTCTTGTGACCGTTTGTCTGCCTTGCTTGTTTTGATGCCCCTCACTTACCAGCCTATGGGGGTGTGTCAAATGTTATTATTTGTAATAGGCTGTAGTGATGTGCCTTCTAGGGGGTACATCTTTTAGGTTTCCATATTTGTACCCCATTCCCTTGCTAGTCAATGCATTCCGTTGTTCGCTCATTCTGAGACAGGGTATCGGAAATAAACCCCCCTGAGGCATCAGTGCAGGGGGGTGTAGAACACTTTGAAATCTCAGGGTGATATAAACCCTGAAATTATAAGGGCTTTCACTACAAACATCCTGAAATTTCAGGGGAGGGGAGGTAGCATCACCCTGAAATCAGGGTAATCAGGATGTTTTACCCTGATATCATAAGCCCTGCCCACGACACTGCAGTGCACAGCAATGAGACGCATGGGGAATGGAAGATGGAGGTGTTTAGAGAAACCATGCATTGCAAGGGCACACATAAGCAGCAGGAGTAGACAGAATCTCTCATAAGCTTATGGTTCTATGTACGAACTAGCAAAGCCATCACTCACATTGGAAACAACCTATCTATCTCAGAGCCCTTCCATGCTCAGAGCCCACACTCACTCAGAGCCCACACTCGCTCAGAGCCCACACTCACTCAGAGCCCACACTCACCCAGAGCCCACGTTCACTCAGGGCACATTCGGGACGTGACATGTCCCAAAAGAAAGTGTCACAAACGTAATTGTGACTAATTGTGATACTCCGAAACAATAATCGTGACTAATTGTGATGCTCCGAAATGAATGAACAGTAAGTAAAGAACCACTCTGAGTAAGACATCTGGCTAAATTGTTACTGATCATGGTTTGGGGTGTCACAATTAGTCACGAATAGCAGTTTCAGAGCATCACAATTATTCACGAATACTGGTTACGAAATTTCACAATTAGTCAAAAATACGTTTGTGACACTTTCTTCTGGTACATGTCACACCCCGAATGTGCCCTCAGAGCCCACACTCACTCAGAGCCCACACTCGCTCAGAGCCCACACTCGCTCAGAGCCCACACTCACTCAGCGCCCACACTCGTCAGAGCCCACATTCGCTCAGAGCCCACACTCACTCAGAGCCCACACTCACTCAGATCCCACACTCACTCAGAGCCCACACTCACTCAGAGCCCACACTCGCTCAGAGCCCACACTCACTCAAAGCCCACACTCACTCAGAGCCCACACTCACTCAGAGCCCACACTCACTCTGTGCACAGCACATCAAGCAGCAGCGTGGCGTCATGAGCCCTTCTTGCCCTGCCTGGCCCGGCGCTTCTCCTTGGAGGAGAGGCTGGAGCGCAGCACCACGCCCTCCTGCTCCTCTAGCAGCCGCGCCTGCTGCTTCAACTCCTGCTGCACTGCCGACTTCTGATTCGCCGCGATTGGGACAGCAGGGGTTGGGGTACAGGGGTTGGGGTACAGGGGTTGGGGTACAGGGGTTGGGGTACAGGGTTTGGGGTACAGGGGTTGGGGTACAGGGGTTGGGGTACAGGGTTTGGGGTACAGGGGTTGGGGTACAGGGGTTGGGGTACAGGGTTTGGGGTACAGGAGTTGGTTTGGGCCACAGGGGTTGGGAGGGCACAGGGGTTGGGGCACGGCACAGGGGTTGGGGCACGGCACAGGGGTTGGGGCAAAGGGGTTGGAGCACAGGGGGCAGTGCAGAGGTGAGCACAAGTAGGCGCACTTGCCGCTGAGGGTACAACAGGCATTACCGCCCCCTCAAGGCAGCACACCCCCCACCCCATGGCACCCACCGCTCTCCCCCTACCCTCCACACACCCCCCCACCCACCGCACCCATCAACCCACAGCACCCCCCCCACCCACCGCACCCACCAACCCACCGCACCCACCAACCCACCGCTTCACATCCCACCACACCGCATCCCACCACACTGCATCTCATCACAGCTTCACACCACATTCATCCCTCCACACCACACCCCGCCACAGCGCATCCCAGCACAGAGCGCACCTCGCGCAGCTCGTTGAAGCTGACGGCGATGAAGGTGAGGGCGGTGGCGGCCGTGATGGCGATGGCCGGCACTATGTAGTCCGCCGCCTCCGCCATGCCGATTCTTCACTCCACCCACAACCCGCGCTGCTCTGTTGCCCTGCCTGCCCGCACCACACGCGCTTGAGAATCCTCAAAAAGTGCCATGCCGCTGCCCCGCCGCCTCCTCGCTCACCGACCACTTCCCGGGAGCCCGCGCGCTCACCCTTGCACACCCGCCCCGCGCTGGCACGTCTCGTGGCCACGTGCTCCTCTCCCGCCCCTCGCCTTCCGTGGTCGCGGAAGGCCCGTGTGTGCCCTGACGCGCCGACTGTCACTCGCGCACCTGCGAGACGCAGTTCGTGGTGACTAGGAGTGCGGCATGCGGGTCATGCAGGGCACGTGGGGCATGCGGGGCACGTGTGCAAGCGGGGTACGGGGCACGTGGGCATGCGGGGCACGTGGGCATGCGGGACACGTGGGGCATGTGGGGCACGTTGGGAATGTGAGGAATGGTGGAACGAGGAGGGCACAGGTCGCGAGAAGGCGGGGCAGGTGAGTGTGTGAATGGCACAGCGTGGACGGCAGCATGCACCGAGTGGCTTCGCAGAGCGGCGCGAGAGAAGAGGCGATGCGAACGAGCGGCGCGGAAAGGGCAAGCCGGACATGAAAGGGGCGAAGAAAGCGATAGGCGCATGAAATAGGCGCGTGCAATAGGCGCATGAAATAGGCGCATGCAATAGGCGCATGCAATAGGCGCATGCAATAGGCGCATGCAATAGGCGCATGGGTACGATAGGCGCATAAGCGCGATGGCGGATAATGAGATTCTGCCGTACCTCGTGGTACGATCAGAGATTGCGCGCCGCGCCGTCAATCGCGTGTAGTTACGGGGCGTGAAGATTGCGGTGTGTGGAAGGCGATGGGTGGCAGGAGCTGCAGTGAAAGCGAAGAAGAGCAATGGTGGTGGATGTTGTTCCTAACGACGATTGCTCAACAGGGTTACACGGGTACGATGCTGGAAGCGGATAAGGTTCGCGAATGGAAATTGCGAAGCAGCAATATCCAGAGAATCACCACAAAAACAAAGTAACAGAATCACCACGATGTTGGAATTCTTTGACGATGTTCGCAAATCAATAGAGTCTATTTGGAGCAAACACGAGATTACATTTCGGTGTTTATAATTGGATGCGAGCGAATCTCAAGCGGTAACAGAATCTCGAGGTGAATTCGCCGCGAAATAATCCCAATGTTCCACCAGCGGCGAGGCGACCTTTCAGCACACTGTCACTGTGAGTGAATGGATCAAGATTCAACAGATCAGGAAAGCAAAATCATAAAGTCAAAAGCGCGAATCCACCGCGTCACTCCCGGCCATTCCTGCCATGCCGCAGCGCCGCCATGACGACGATCTCGCCGCGCCGCTGCTTCCCAATGCGCCGTCATCGCCGCCCGCATCACACGCGATCGGCGCGCTGACCGCGGCGGCGGGGCGAAATGCCGCGTCGCCGTCCGCGGAGCACATCACCGTTGCCGTCGTGCCGCCGCGCGCCGTTTACTCCACGCCCTTCGTGCAGGCCGGCGTCGTCGGCGGTATCGCGGGCGGCGTCGTCGGCGTCGCGGCCGTCGCAGGCGCGCCCGCTCCCCCTTCGGCGCTGATCGCCGCAGCCAGGGGGGATCATAGCGGCTCTGGCTTGGGGCTGGCGGCGTTGGCGGAACCGGCTGCAGGGGGAGGGGGAGGGGGAGGGGGAGGGGGAGGGGGAGGGGGAGGGGGAGGGGGAGGGGGAGGGGGAGGGGGAGGGGGAGGGGGAGGGGAGGGGGAGGGGGAGGGGGAGGGGGAGGGGGAGGCGTAGGGGGAGAAATTGCGCAAGTCGTAGGGGTCTTAAGTGCGGATGCCGGCGGGAATGGCGGATCCGGCGCGGGCGTGGGGAGTGAAGCGGCGGGAGGCAGGGAGAGGGAGATTGGCGAGGGCGAGTCAGGAACGCCGAAGGGCCGTGTGCGAAAAAACCTCTGGCGAATTGCGGACGACGACAGCGACAGCGATGGCGAGCAGGGCCGTGTGGGCGACGCGACCCCAGCGAGCGCGGGGAAAGAAGCGGATGGGGCGATTCCCGAGGGCGGGCAGCATGCGGGTAGCAGCCGCGGCAGCAGCAGCCGGGGGCGCGCGAGCACGGAAGGGCGCGCCTTGCGGGACGCGGGTGGTGGGGGGTGTGTGGGCGGCGAGCAGAAGGACGCGGGCGGGGAGGGCAGTAGGCGGGCAACGGGCGAGGTGGGGGGAATGGGAGGGGTGGGGAGGTTGGGGGAGGTGGGGGAGAGCAACAGTGCGCGGGAGCGGCGGTGGCAGGCGCTGCTGCGGTCGACATCTTCGTACCACTACGGCCGGCAGCACAGCGCCACACTCAGCACTGACTCACCGCACTCCACCGCTCTGGCTTTGGACGACACGAGGTTCCACAGCATGAGGGGGGAAAGCGAGTGGGACGAGAGGGGGGTTGAAGGGGCGAGGGGGAGGGCGGGCGAGGAGGAGGCGAGAGGCGCAGCGGGCGGCATCGTGGGATGGCTGCATGCTGTTTGGCATGGCGTTGGTGAGATGCCGTGGGGCATGGCATGGCATGGCATGGCATGGCATGGCATGGCATGGCATGCCGTGGATGGCATAGCATAACATGGCCCCCTCATCCCATCCCTCTCATCCCATCCCCCTCATCCCCATCATTTCCCTTATCCCTTTCGTCCCCCTCGTTGCCCTCATCCCGCTCACTCCTCTCACCCCGCTCACTCCTCTCATCCCGCTCACTCCTCTCATCCCGCTCACTCCTCTCATCCCGCTCACTCCTCTCATCCCACTCAACCCCCGCATCACCCACCAACTGCTTTGCATTCACCCCAACCTCACCCCACACCACAGCTGCCGATGCCCTCTCCCTTCCCCGCATCCCTCCCTCCCCCTCTCTCCCGTCCCTCCCTCTCTATCCCCTCCCCCCTCCCCCCTCACAGCCACCATCTTCCACCTCTTCCTCGCGTCGCTCCTCCGCCTGCCCGCCTCCACAGCGGCCCTGCTCACCCGCCAGCTGGACGACGCGAGGGCCAACCCCAAGCTGGTGTTGCTGGCGCTCAAGGGCGGCGGGGCGGCAGCGCTCACGGCGGCGCTGTGTGTGGTGGACCTGGACGACCGCCTGCCGTCGCTCGCGTCCATCGGCGTGTGGGCCGTTGTCACCGTCGACCTCGTCTTTGAAGCCAACATCGGCCTCTCGCTCGGGTGAGCCTGCTGCTGGGATGAGTGTTGTGAGACATCTAACAGACAAAAGGGGAGTAAAGCAGGGAAAACAGGGCTGTTAGAGAAAAGGGAGACCATCAGCTGATGTGAGAGGGCCCATCGGTTAAACCTGGATTGGTGAGATGGACTCACTCAAGCGGATCAGGTTGACTTGCCTCACTCACCAAGGTTGACTTGCCTCACTCACCAAGGTTGACTTGCCTCACTCACCAAGGTTGACTTGCCTCACTCACCAAGGTTGACTTGCCTCACTCACCAAGGTTGACTTGCCTCACTCACCAAGGTTGACTTGCCTCACTCACCAAGGTTGACTTGCCTCACTCACCAAGGTTGACTTGCCTCACTCACCAAGGTTGACTTGCCTCACTCACCAAGGTTGACTTGCCTCGCTCACCAAGGTTGACTTGCCTCACTCACCAAGGTTGACTTGCCTCGCTCACCAAGGTTGACTTGCCTCACTCACCAAGGTTGACTTGCCTCACTCACCAAGGTTGACTTGCCTTGCTCACCAAGGTTGACTTGCCTCACTCACCAAGGTTGACTTGCCTCACTCACCAAGGTTGACTTGCCTCACTCACCAAGGTTGACTTGCCTCACTCACCAAGGTTGACTTGCCTCACTCACCAAGGTTGACTTGCCTCACTCACCAAGGTTGACTTGCCTCACTCACCAAGGTTGACTTGCCTCACTCACCAAGGTTGACTTGCCTCACTCACCAAGGTTGACTTGCCTCACTCACCAAGGTTGACTTGCCTCACTCACCAAGGTTGACTTGCCTCACTCACCAAGGTTGACTTGCCTCACTCACCAAGGTTGACTTGCCTCGCTCACCAAGGTTGACTTGCCTCACTCACCAAGGTTGACTTGCCTCACTCACCAAGGTTGACTTGCCTCACTCACCAAGGTTGACTTGCCTCACTCACCAAGGTTGACTTGCCTCGCTCACCAAGGTTGACTTGCCTCGCTCACCAAGGTTGACTTGCCTCGCTCACCAAGGTTGACTTGCCTCGCTCACCAAGGTTGACTTGCCTCACTCACCAAGGTTGACTTGCCTCACTCACCAAGGTTGACTTGCCTCGCTCACCAAGGTTGACTTGCCTCACTCACCAAGGTTGACTTGCCTCACTCACCAAGGTTGACTTGCCTCACTCACCAAGGTTGACTTGCCTCACTCACCAAGGTTGACTTGCCTCACTCACCAAGGTTGACTTGCCTCACTCACCAAGGTTGACTTGCCTCACTCACCAAGGTTGACTTGCCTCACTCACCAAGGTTGACTTGCCTCACTCACCAAGGTTGACTTGCCTCACTCACCAAGGTTGACTTGCCTCACTCACCAAGGTTGACTTGCCTCACTCACCAAGGTTGACTTGCCTCACTCACCAAGGTTGACTTGCCTCACTCACCAAGGTTGACTTGCCTCACTCACCAAGGTTGACTTGCCTCACTCACCAAGGTTGACTTGCCTCACTCACCAAGGTTGACTTGCCTCACTCACCAAGGTTGACTTGCCTCACTCACCAAGGTTGACTTGCCTCACTCACCAAGGTTGACTTGCCTCACTCACCAAGGTTGACTTGCCTCACTCACCAAGGTTGACTTGCCGCACTCACCAAGGTTGACTTGCCTCACTCACCAAGGTTGACTTGCCTCACTCACCAAGGTTGACTTGCCTCACTCACCAAGGTTGACTTGCCTCACTCACCAAGGTTGACTTGCCTCACTCACCAAGGTTGACTTGCCTCACTCACCAAGGTTGACTTGCCTCGCTCACCAAGGTTGACTTGCCTCACTCACCAAGGTTGACTTGCCTCACTCACCAAGGTTGACTTGCCTCACTCACCAAGGTTGACTTGCCTCGCTCACCAAGGTTGACTTGCCTCACTCACCAAGGTTGACTTGCCTCACTCACCAAGGTTGACTTGCCTCGCTCACCAAGGTTGACTTGCCTCGCTCACCAAGGTTGACTTGCCTCACTCACCAAGGTTGACTTGCCTCACTCACCAAGGTTGACTTGCCTCACTCACCAAGGTTGACTTGCCTCGCTCACCAAGGTTGACTTGCCTCGCTCACCAAGGTTGACTTGCCTCGCTCACCAAGGTTGACTTGCCTCGCTCACCAAGGTTGACTTGCCTCACTCACCAAGGTTGACTTGCCTCACTCACCAAGGTTGACTTGCCTCACTCACCAAGGTTGACTTGCCTCACTCACCAAGGTTGACTTGCCTCACTCACCAAGGTTGACTTGCCTCACTCACCAAGGTTGACTTGCCTCACTCACCAAGGTTGACTTGCCTCACTCACCAAGGTTGACTTGCCTCGCTCACCAAGGTTGACTTGCCTCGCTCACCAAGGTTGACTTGCCTCACTCACCAAGGTTGACTTGCCTCGCTCACCAAGGTTGACTTGCCTCACTCACCAAGGTTGACTTGCCTCGCTCACCAAGGTTGACTTGCCTCGCTCACCAAGGTTGACTTGCCTCACTCACCAAGGTTGACTTGCCTCACTCACCAAGGTTGAATTGCCTCACTCACCAAGGTTGACTTGCCTCACTCACCAAGGTTGACTTGCCTCACTCACCAAGGTTGACTTGCCTCACTCACCAAGGTTGACTTGCCTCACTCACCAAGGTTGACTTGCCTCACTCACCAAGGTTGACTTGCCTCACTCACCAAGGTTGACTTGCCTCACTCACCAAGGTTGACTTGCCTCACTCACCAAGGTTGACTTGCCTCACTCACCAAGGTTGACTTGCCTCGCTCACCAAGGTTGACTTGCCTCACTCACCAAGGTTGACTTGCCTCACTCACCAAGGTTGACTTGCCTCACTCACCAAGGTTGACTTGCCTCACTCACCAAGGTTGACTTGCCTCACTCACCAAGGTTGACTTGCCTCACTCACCAAGGTTGACTTGCCTCACTCACCAAGGTTGACTTGCCTCACTCACCAAGGTTGACTTGCCTCACTCACCAAGGTTGACTTGCCTCACTCACCAAGGTTGACTTGCCTCACTCACCAAGGTTGACTTGCCTCACTCACCAAGGTTGACTTGCCTCACTCACCAAGGTTGACTTGCCTCACTCACCAAGGTTGACTTGCCTCACTCACCAAGGTTGACTTGCCTCACTCACCAAGGTTGACTTGCCTCACTCACCAAGGTTGACTTGCCTCACTCACCAAGGTTGACTTGCCTCACTCACCAAGGTTGACTTGCCTCACTCACCAAGGTTGACTTGCCTCACTCACCAAGGTTGACTTGCCTCACTCACCAAGGTTGACTTGCCTCGCTCACCAAGGTTGACTTGCCTCACTCACCAAGGTTGACTTGCCTCACTCACCAAGGTTGACTTGCCTCGCTCACCAAGGTTGACTTGCCTCGCTCACCAAGGTTGACTTGCCTCACTCACCAAGGTTGACTTGCCTCACTCACCAAGGTTGACTTGCCTCACTCACCAAGGTTGACTTGCCTCGCTCACCAAGGTTGACTTGCCTCGCTCACCAAGGTTGACTTGCCTCGCTCACCAAGGTTGACTTGCCTCGCTCACCAAGGTTGACTTGCCTCACTCACCAAGGTTGACTTGCCTCACTCACCAAGGTTGACTTGCCTCACTCACCAAGGTTGACTTGCCTCACTCACCAAGGTTGACTTGCCTCACTCACCAAGGTTGACTTGCCTCGCTCACCAAGGTTGACTTGCCTCACTCACCAAGGTTGACTTGCCTCGCTCACCAAGGTTGACTTGCCTCACTCACCAAGGTTGACTTGCCTCACTCACCAAGGTTGACTTGCCTCACTCACCAAGGTTGACTTGCCTCACTCACCAAGGTTGACTTGCCTCACTCACCAAGGTTGACTTGCCTCACTCACCAAGGTTGACTTGCCTCACTCACCAAGGTTGACTTGCCTCACTCACCAAGGTTGACTTGCCTCACTCACCAAGGTTGACTTGCCTCACTCACCAAGGTTGACTTGCCTCACTCACCAAGGTTGACTTGCCTCACTCACCAAGGTTGACTTGCCTCACTCACCAAGGTTGACTTGCCTCACTCACCAAGGTTGACTTGCCTCACTCACCAAGGTTGACTTGCCTCACTCACCAAGGTGGTTGAGTTGACAGGGGCTCGTTTTCATCGCCTCATAAATCTCCTCCGTGCCATGCCAACCCCCTCCTGCCCCCCCGTGCCGCCCGTGCCGTCCCCACTTCCCCTCTCTCCTCTCGTGTGGCAGCAAGGGTGTGAACCGAGTGCTAGGCACGCTACTGGCAGGAGCAGCAGCGCTGGCGGTGACGAACGTGGTGTCGCTCATGGGCGGGCTGCACGTGGCCGTGCTGCTGCTGCTCGTCTTCCTCAGCGCCGCTCTTCCCATCTACTACCGCAACCGCCCGCCCTTCAAAGACAGGTGCGGGGAGGGGGGATGGGGGGGAGGGGGGAAAAGAGGGGTAAAGGCGGAGTTAAAGGGGGAAAGGGGAAAAGGGCCGGAAAAGGGGGGGAAATGGGGATAAGGGGGCTTGATGAGGGGGGTGGAGAGGGGAGGGAGGCAGCCTGGGTTTCAAGGAAGGGGCAGGTGGCTACAGCCGTCAGTTGGTGTGCCAGGTTCGATCTTCTGCCGTTCCTAGCCACCCACGCATGCAGTACCCCGGTGTTGTGTACTGGAGTGGCTTCGCTGCTGCTCTACCTCCTTGAGCGAGATCATGTGTGTTCCTTCAACAGCGTGGCTTCTCCCACACGCTTGCCCGTGCACCGGCTGTGCAGCACTGCTCTGCGCGTATGAGCGTGTGGTTCCACTGCCCTCCCCCTCCCCATGTTGGGCACACACGTCACCTTCCACACGCTCCTCTCCTCTCCACCTCATCACGCGTCCACTTCCCACTCTTCCCGCCCATGCACCATCCCCTATTCTCACGCCACCCCCCCCTCGCACAGGTGGACATACGCCATGACGATAATGATGCTCACCTTCCACATCCTGCTGCTCTCCACGTACCGCAACCCCGAGAAGCTGCTGCTGCCGCTGGCGCGCTTCTCCATGATCGTGCTGGGCTTCCTCATCGCCGCGCTCATCAACCTCGCTGTCCTCCCCGCCTACGCCGGGGACACCCTGCACGCACTGCTCTCCAAGAACTTCGACTCTGCCGGCAATCTGCTCTCCAGGTGGGCGGCAATCTGCTCTCCAGGTGGGCGGCAATCTGCTCTCCAGGTGGGCGGCAATGTGCTCTCCAGGTGGGCGGCACTCTGCTCTCCAGGTGGGCGGCACTCTGCTCTCCAGGTGGGCGGCACTCTGCTCTCCAGGTGGGCGGCACTCTGCTCTCCAGGTGGGCGGCACTCTGCTCTCCAGGTGCATTAAGGCTGGATTTGAGCTGCTGAGATTGACTATGAATGGATTCTTGGAATTACCAGATAACAGATTTTGGTGATTGCATTCTGTTTAGGTTGCATTTTCGTGTTATCACAAAAACTAGGAAGCTTGTTATCACATCATGCGTAACGAGACAAAATCTTGTTGGAAAATGGGTGTAGCAGGTGACAGAGTGAGAAGCATGTAGTGGGACGATAGTGGTGATGCGTGCGAGCGGAGTTGAGAAGCAGGTTGCGTGGGATTGATCGCTGGTTTGTTGGCATGCATGGTGAAGCGAGAGTGCCCACAAGCACGTCTCCACTCCCAGGTGCAACGGCAGGGCCTCCAACGCATGCTTCTGAGCCGTGGCAGAGGCCCAAGTACAGGATTGGGATCGCGGCCTATTCTTAGCATGTAGCTCCACCAGCCGTGATGCAGAGAGCCTCACATTTGATGCAGAGAGCCTCACATGTGATGCAGAGAGCCTCACATGTGATGCAGAGAGCCTCACATGTGATGCAGAGAGCCTCACATGTGATGCAGAGAGCCTCACATGTGATGCAGAGAGCCTCACATGTGATGCAGAGAGCCTCACATGTGATGCAGAGAGCCTCACATGTGATGCAGAGAGCCTCACATGTGATGCAGAGAGCCTCACATGTGATGCAGAGAGCCTCACATGTGATGCAGAGAGCCGTCACATTTGACGCTTCCCCGTGCTTCGCGATGCTGCTCCAATCAGAGGGGTGTGAGTGACACAATAATGATCCCTCTGCTGTGGCGCCACGGTGCGGTTGGCAGGTGTGTGGAGGAGTACGAGCGCGGCACGGTGTGGCGGCCCGTACCCACTCTGTGGAACATGCGTACCGGGGTGGCGGGCGGGGCGGGCGCGCAGGGAGGCGTGGGCGACGGCAGTGGGGGGGAGAATCTGAGGGAGATGTACCATGCCATTGTCATGAGCGATGCCGAGGTCGACAAACACGTCAGTGCCGCTTGCTCTGCCGCTTGCTGTGCTGCCTGCTGTGCGCCACACTGCATGCCATGCCGTGCTACATCCCAACCTTGATTCCCTCATGCTTATTGTCCCCTTCCTTTCTGCTCCGTGATCTCCAGTGAGGCGCCTCTCTCCGTCATTCACCCACTCCTCTCGCGTGCCCTTTGCATGCCCAGCCACACTTGTCCTTCTTCCTGCACACGCCCGTCCCCCCCTCCCTCCTCCCCCCCTCCCCCCCATTTTGCTACTTCGCCCCCCACCTGTTCCTCCCCCCAGCTGGCCGCGCTGCTCTTCGAGCCGCCTCACGGCCGCTTCTTCTCGGGCTACCCGTGGCAGCTCTACGATGACGTCAGCGACACCCTGCGCTGCCTGGTGTATGACGTCATCGCGCTTGACTCGAGCCTGAGGGCGGAGATCCAGGCGCCGCTGGTGCTGCGCCGGTTGGTGGGGCGCGAGATGACACGCATCGCCCAGGAGTGCAGCAGGTGAGGCGGGGGGTGCAATGGGGAGGTGGGGTTGGCAGCAGGTGGGGCATGAAGCAGGTGGGGCATGAAGCAGGTGGGGCATGAAGCAGGTGAGGTGTGTATCAGACGCGGCGAGGGATGCAGCAGACTGAGTGATGTGCGCCTGCCTTCCTCCTATCCGCTCTTCTCTCTGCCTCCTCTTGCTCTGCTTCCCACTGTGCAGCATGTTGGCTTATCTGGCGCTGTCAGTGCGCCCATTCGTCCTGTCCGTGCTTCTCTCCACCTCCTCCTGCTCCCCACCTTCCCTCCTCCTATCGCCCTCAACACTCCCCCTTTCCCCCCTCCTTCCCCCCTACCTTCTTCCAGCACGCTGGCCTATCTGGCGCAGTCCATGCGCTTGTTCACGTGGGCGTGTTTTGAGTCACCTCAAACCACACATTCCCTCCCCTCCTCCTCCCTCCCCCTGCCCTCTCCTCCCCTTCCCCCCCACACCAGCACGCTGGCGTACCTGGCGCACTCAGTGCGCTCGTTCACGTGGGCGGGGCCGCCTGACTCGCTGTTCCGCGCCGAGGAAGCTGCCATGAAGCTGCAGCACCGGCTGTCGAAGCACATCAGCCTAATCCTCATGCTGCCGCCGCCCTCCCTCGCCCCCCGCCCCCTCGCGCTCTCCCGCCTCTCCGAGGGTGGAGGGGGAAGTGTTGGGGGCGCTGGGGGTGCTGGGGGGGGCGAGGACGGGTTTGACAGATTAGTGGTGCATGGGGGGGGCGAGGGGGGCGAGGATGGGGGATGGGCGGAGGATGGGGAGGGAGTGGTGACGAGCTGCATTGACATGGGTGGGGATGAGGAGGGGGAGGGCGGGGGAGAGGAGGGGAGAGGGCAAAAAAGGCTGATGGAATCTGCTTCGCCCAGAGTAGAGAGGTGAGGCGTGTGGACCTACGAGGAGTGTGGGGGATGAGAGGTGTGTTGGGATGAGGGGAGTGTGGGAATGACGGGACTGTGGGTATGAGGGGAGTGTGGGTACGACGGGAATGTGGGTACGAGGGGAGTGTGGGTAAGGGGGGAGTGTGGGTATGAGGGGAGTGTGGGTATGAGAAGTGAGGCACTGCAATAGTGGCAACTGCGTGAGATAAGCGTCGATGAAAAGTTGCTGTGTGCCCACTCTCCTCTCATCGCTACCCGAGTCCCCACCCTTCTCCTTGCACGTCCCTGCTCTCTCCCCGCATGCAGGCTCTCCCGCCCCGGCAGTCCTCTCTGCCTCTCCCCCCGCCACCCCCACGGCCTCTCACCCTCCCCCACCATCGCCGCACCCGACTCGCATGCACCACCACACATGGCAGCGACAGCAGCAGCAGGCACAGCGGCAGGAATGGGAGCGATGGGCGCGATGGGCGCCCTGACACCATCAGAGATGTCGCTGGCGGAGGGGCTGGCGGGCTATGCTGCCACGTGGGGACCAGCAGGTGCCGGAGAGCAGGGCGATGCAGCCGCATCAGCGGGCGGCATGGGGAGTGTGGGCGGCATGGGGCGGAAGAAGCCGTCGGTGGCGGAGTGGCGGCAGGAGCTGCTGCAGCGGCAGGCGTCGATGGGCGGCGCGTGGGATCGCACGGTGGAGCGCATTGCAGCGCTGTCGCTCGTCAAGGTGGCGGCGCTGCTGCTGGAGGTGGTGGCCAAGCTGCACTTCGTGGTGCAGCGATCTGAAGAGCTGGCACTCGCTGCCCGCTTCGATGTGACGGGGCAATCCTAGCTTTGTGGGAAGGAGACCATAGACAGGAGATGTAGGGCTTGCAAGGTGATTGTAACTTCAAAGCCCCAGCACAGGATGGTTGTGTCAAATTGTATTTGTTCTGTAGGCTGTAGTGGGGCATACCCTAAAGGGTACAACACTTTAGGGTTAGGGTTAGCTATACAATCCTGTACTGCCCATCATCCTACTCATTCTTACGTTCCTACTTCTGACATGGTATTCAGAGCGGGTCCGTCCGTAGGACCGCTCCTTTAGGGCCCACCGATAGTTTCCGACCTGCCTGATCTGCCCGATCTGCCCGTACTGTCAAACTATAATGATGGTTATGTTGTGTAGGCTGTAGTGGGGTAGCCTATATGGAGTACAACCCAATTAGGGTTAATACGGTACTTGTACTCAGTTTGATGTCAATGCAATCATTCCTGCTCGTTAGTTCCTGACATGGTATCAGAGCAGTAGGTCCGTAGGACCGTTTTTTTTCGGGCCCACAATTACCTAGTGACCGACTGCGGTTACCGCGTTACCCCACGCCCTGCCCTGCGCTGCGCCGTCAGCGCGCGCCCTGCCCTGCCCTGCCTTGCGTCGCGCTGCTCCGCGCACGCCCTGCCCTGCCCCGCGTCGCGCTGCCCCGCGCACGCCCTGCCCTGCCCCGCGTCGCGCTGCCCCGCGCACGCCCTGCCCTGCCCCGCGTCGCGCTGCCCCGCGCACGCCCTGCCCCGCGTCCTGCTGCAGCCCGTGCGTCGCGCCCTGCTGCAGCCCGCACGTCGCACTCTGCTGCAGCCCGCACGTCGCGCCCTGCTGCCATGCGCGTCGTGCCCTACGGCAGCCCGCGCGTCGCGCTCTGCTGCCCCGCGCATCGCGCTCTGCTGCAGCCCGCGCGTCGCGCCCTGCTGCCCTGCGCGTCGCGCCCTGCTGCAGCCCGCGCGTCGCGCCCTGCTGCCCGCGCCGCCCAGGCTGAGCCGCGCCGCCCAGCCCGAGCCGCCCTGCCCAATCCGATCCGCCCTGCTGCTCGTGCTACTGCTGGTGGTGGTGGAGGTGCTGCTAGGAGTGCTGGAGGTGCTGCAGCCTAGTCGAGAGAATTACTGTAGAACCCTGTTCGGTGATTCATCCATACTCGCGTGGCCTCGAATTACTCGAGTGGCCACCAAATTTGGTGATAATTACTCGAGTGGCCACGCCAGGGCATTTTCAATGTGTTTTTTTTCCCCGGCACATTTCCCTACAAGGGTTTGTAACCCCGAAATTCTTCGTTCGCACGAGTCTCATCCCGCGGTAGTGTTTCGTACTATTCCCTACCCGAAAATTTCGGGTGGGTGGCGGGCGCGAACGTGGCTCACACACTGTACACAAAACCTTAAAAAATGCACGACCAACAGTATATGCGCGGTCATTTTCGGCCCAATGCGCGACCAATGAGCGCGCGGTAAAAAAAATCAGCGATCATAAACTGCACTGCGGGGGCATAAATGCGCGAACCCATTAGTGACCGCGCATGATTGGTTAATAATATGCCAGTTTCCCTTTTTGGCAATGCGCGTCCAATCAGGCGCGGTTATTTAGTTCACGACCATATATGTAGGCAATAAAAGATCGCCCAACAACCAATGTGAGCGCGCACGTGTTAAGATAAATTGTATCATATGTCCGGTACTATTGCGGGATGATACTCGTGCGGACGGTGCATTTCGGGGCTACAGACCTCCTTAGGGTAATGCGCCGGGAAAAAAAAAGCTAGCGGGAATCCCCTGGCGTGGCCACTCGAGTAATTATCACCAAATTTTGTGGCCACTCGAGTAATTCGAGGCCACGCGAGTAAGGATGAATCACCGAACAGGGTTCTACAGTAATTCTCTCAGCCTAGTCTCACCGAGCCGCTCTGCTGCTCTTACTGCTGCTGCTGCTACTCGTGCTACTGCCTTCCCTCCGTACTGACCTACTGGTCGCGCGCCTCCTTGCTTGCCCGCTATGACTTCACTTCGTAGTAACGGTGGGAGTGGTGACGGCGGTGGTGGCAGCAGTGGGAGTGGTGGCGGCCGTAGTAGCAGTCCCTGTGGAGCTGTTCGGTGGGGAGTTTCTGGCGGTGGCCAGATGCAGCTGCAGCGGCGTCCGCGCGAGGCCCTTACGCCCCAGCAGCTTCGTGAGTGGTACGCCAGTATGTGTGGTGGCGGCGGCCGTAGTAGCAGTCGCGGTGGAGCTGTTCAGTGCGGAGTTTCTGGCGGTGGCCAGCTGCAGCTGCAGCGGCATCCGCGCGAGACCCTTACGCCCCAGCAGCTTCGTGAGTGGTACGCTCAGAGTGTGGGGACTTGGAGTACTGTCCGCTGCCCGTACGTCATTCGCACAGGTGATCGGGCTGGTCAAACTTGCGGGACTCTTGGTCACACACAGGCTCGCTGCTTCGCCTGTCTGAGCGACGCCTGGCGTGCAGTGTTTGGCGACGAGGCTGAGCTCCCCCGCTGGCTAGAGCTGCTTCGGAACAAGGTGGATATCTTTGGTCTAGACTATGACACTATCCTCCCTGCCATGTATGCTTTGACTATTAGTACTCAGAGTGACTGTTACCTGTGTGTGCCGCCTGACCCTGGTATAGCGGCTACTGCTTTAGGTGCTGGTGAGTCTGCTCTAGGTGCTGGTGAGTCTGCTCTAGGTGCTGGTGAGTCTGCTCTCTCTGGTACTGCGCCTGCTGAGGCCTTGCACACCTTCACGCTTGACTCAGGTGCTTCCCGCTGCTTCTTTCGCGACATCACCACAGTCACACCACTCGCAGCACCTGTTGCAGTCTCTCTGGCTGACCCCTCTCGGGGACCGGTTCGTGCACGTTCCTCCACTGTTCTCCCGTGTCCGGCGGTTCCGTCTGGCTCACTGTCAGGTCTTCACCTCCCCTCGTTCTCTACGAACTTGGTGAGTAACGCCATCCTTCAGGATGCTTGGGTTGATACATTTATCCCTGGAGGACAGCGTGTGGCGATCTGCACGTGTGCACGGACGGGCCGTCACCTGGCCACGTTCACCCGTCGGCCTGGGTCGAGCCTGTACACACTGACTACTGAGCCTCCTCAGGTAGCTGCGTCAGCGTCTGCGTCAGGTCAGCTTGCAGCCCCTTGTTCGTGTCGCCTCCTGTCGCACCAGACTCTCCTTTGGCACCACCGCCTAGGTCACCCCTCCCTGCCATGCCTCCGTGTCATGCACTCCCGCCTCCTTGTCTCTGGTCGTCCCAGGTCTCTGCCTCCCCTCCCACCCTCGCCTGCCCCTCCCTGCCTTCCCTGTGTCGAGGGGCGGCAGCGCGCCGCTCCTCACTCCTCCTCGTTTCCCCCGACGACTGCTCCCCTGCAGACTCTCTACATGGACGTGTGGAGCCCAGCCCGCGTCCAGGGACAGGGCCGCGAGCGATACCTTCTGCTGGTTGTTGACGACTACTCGCGTTACACCACTGTCTTCCCCTTGCGCAGCAAGGGGGAGGTCCCTGATGTTTTGATCCCTTGGATCCGCGCTGTCCGTCTCCAGCTCCGCGAGCGGTTCGACACGGACCTTCCTGTCCTGCGTCTGCACTCTGACGGAGGTGGTGAGTTCTCCTCCGACCTCTTGCGGGACTTTTGTCGTGGGGAGGGCATCCTCCAGTCGTTCACGCTTCCGGCCTCTCCGCAGCAGAATGGGGTTGCTGAGCGCCGCATTGGCTTAGTCATGGAGGTCGCTCGTACCTCCATGATCCATGCGGCTGCTCCCCACTTTCTGTGGCCGTTTGCGGTCCGGTACGCTGCGCATCAGCTCAACCTCTGGCCCCGTGTCTCCTTGCCGGAGACCTCGCCTACACTGCGTTGGACGGGAGAGGTTGGCGATGCGTCGGTGTTCCGGGTCTGGGGCTGTCGTGCCTTTGTCCGCGATACCTCCGCGGACAAACTCTCCTCGCGCGCCGTTCCCTGCGTCTTCCTTGCCTTTCACCCTGACGCGCCTGGCTGGCAGTTTTACCACCCCACCTCGCGCCGTGTCCTACCCTCTCAGGACGTCACGTTCGACGAGTCGGTTCCCTTTTACCGTCTCTTCCCCTACCACACTGCCCCTCTCCCCTCCCCGCCGCTCTTCCTCGCTCCCGGTCCCCCTCCGGTAGACTCCCCCCTCAGGGTCCTGCTCCTTCAGGTGTGTCTTAGGTAGACCCACTCCCCTTGGTTGAGCATGTCGAGGTCACTGGTGACTCTGGTGCTGCTCGGGGTGCTGCGTCTGGGGGTGCTGAGCCTGCGGTTGCGGGGCCTGGGCGTGCGGAGCCTGGAGGTGCTGAGCCTGAGCGTGTGGAGCCTAGGGGTGCTGAGCCTGAGCGTGCGGAGCCTGGAGGTGCTGAGCCTGCGAGTGCGGAGCCCGGGGGTGATGCGTCTGAGCGTGCGGAGCCTGGGGGTGCTGAGCCTGAGTGTGCGGAGCCTGGGGGTGCTGAGTCTGGGGGTGCTGAGCCTAGGGGTCCTGCATCTACACTACGGGAGCCTCTCTCACCACAGCAGTTGCGCGAGTGGTACGCTCGGCGCTGTAGCCTTCGGAGTGGCGCTGCTGGAGCTGGAGGCCCTGGAGCTGCTAGTCCTGGAGGTGCTGGAGGTACTGCTGGTACTGGAGGTACTGGAGGTGCTGGAGTTACTAGTCCTAGAGGTCCCACTGGTGCCTCGCCCCAGCGGTCTAGCCGGCGGGAGCCTCTCTCACCACAGCAGTTGCGCCAGTGGTACGCTCGGCGCTGTATCCTTCGGAGTGGCGCTGCTGGAGCTGGAGGCCCTGGAGCTGCTAGTGCTGGAGGTGCTGGTGGTGCTGGCACTGCTGGTCCCGGGGGTGCTCGTGCTGGTGGCGCTGGAGCCGCCGGAGCTGGTGGTGCTGCTAGTGCTGGAGGTGCTGGAGGTAGTGGAGTTTCTGGAGGTGCTGGAGCTGGTGGTGCTGCTGCTTCTCGAGGTGCTGGAGCTGCTTGTCCCGGAGGTGCTCGTACTGGTGGTACTGGAGCTGCTGGAGCTGGTGGTGCTGCTGCTGCTGCTGGA